TTTTTTCCTTTTAACCCCCCCCCCCCCCCCGGTCCCAAAAGAACCTAAGATTAGATCCAGATTTTTCGAACTTATTCCTTTTCTGTAGATTTTCTCCAGAATTTATCATTTGATTCATTTCAAGTACTAATTTTCAGATCGAATGGGGAATGGGGAACTTGACCTTGCCCCTCGTTGCAGGTATTAGAGCAACATGCAATATTTCTAGCATACCAACCAAAAAGCAAGCCTCGCCAGCTTACAAGCCAAAGGGCAAATGTTGTCGACGCTGGAAAGAAGAGAGAGCCTACCTATAACACTATTTGTTGATGAGAACCAAGCTACATCGATAACCTCCTAACACAAAACACAAAACACAATTTTTACACATTTATATATGCTTTTAAACTTAAAACTTCACAATGTTAGTGCAACTAAGTTGTGGTTGAGATAATCATGTGACGCGATAAGATTAGATAAATTTGTTGACAAGTGTTTTATGTTAGGTAAATTAATAAAAATAGACCTATTATGTACAAAAATACAAGGTATTGATTTAGCAGATGGACATTTCTTCTCGTCAAAATCTGTTACTTATATCAGGGTTGAACAACGAAATCATCAAACCACAAATCGAATCTAAACTGCTTTTTCGAAATTGTTAATTAATTGAGTCCATGTGAACCTATAGATATTTTGATTTTTATCAAACCAAACATTTTCAAAGTGATTTGCTTTAAGTTTCAATTTTTACAAACCATTTCAAACTGTTAAATCTTTTATAGAGAATAAAGAGTGAAAAAGTACTTTTGTTATTATGGAATAAGAAGTTTCCGTATCTTAATGCACATATTTGATTTATTTAGAGCTATTAAGCAAGGTCCTTTTTTGTGGGGAATATAAGTTCAAGTAATAACAAGAATGTTTCGAGTGAAATATGTTCTAAAGAGATTGGTAGCTAATAGACTGAGTGATAAGGAAGTCAAATTAATCAAATTAAGAATAAAAACATCTCAACTAAAATAAACATTGTTCATGAAAATATCTTTCGAATTAAATACACCACACGTGTACAATTCATTAACAAGTAATAAAGTGGATTCGAGTTCAAGTATCGTCCTACGGAGATTGATTTAATTCAATTTTAATTATTGCAATCTTAACCAAAACAATAATAACGTCATGTGTGTGTTTGTGACACAAAAATAATCTATTTATGAAATTATGAGTGAATTAACTAAGTTAAACGTAAATTATGCTAAATGAAAGTTGATATGTTCTAACGAATGACAAATGCACTAGGATCGAATTGTCATGTAATAATCATTTTTAACTTTAGTTCTACACATTGATAACACAGTTGAATTTTAAAGAATCCTCGTATTTTATTCAACAATATCTCTCGAGTAGTGTTAAACATAATCTCATATATGATCTGACTATATTTTCTATGACGGATGCGAATATACAAGTATGCATGAATTTTTATGAACACTTAAAGATTCACATAGAGTATATCGATATATTTCTATCCCATATCGAACCCTATGATGACTTACACTATGTCGAGCTTATTTTCTTTATTTTGAATGCATAAAATAAACCACTATATTCACACAACTACCGTACACAATAATTGTAGATAAAATAAATTCATATATATCATTTAATTTAAAAAAAAACGTGTTTTCCATATCAAATATGTAAAACTAAAGATTAAAAACTCATATTACACAGTTTATCGTTCTCCTAGTACAAAGAAATCTAGTCTAGCATGTTAGGAAGATGAAAAGAAAAGAATACTTCAATCGATATCATCCAATTAAATCTTGAATTAAATATTCCAGTGTTGGAATCGATATTCGTGTTTCTTGCTTCCTTCTATGCTCTAAAACCTATTAGAACGTGTTGTAATGCGTGGTAAACTGCTTATGGACGGTCTTAGGTCTTTATCAGACGTACCATCATGTTTCCATAAGTGTTTGAGTCACACATGGAAACCATAATTTTTCCTCCTTAAATGTACTATGCTATGATATAGTACAATTGCATGCTATGGCATAATTCAATGAAATTTAGCCCTCGAACTCCCTAAGTCATGTCATGCAACTGCATGGAGAATATAACTATGCTATAGCATAGTTCAAGTGAAAATTCATTTTTTACATTTTTGGTCCCTGAACTCAGTTTTCTCGTTTCTTAACACTTCTTCTTATTCCAATACTTTATTTCTTTGTTGAATTGGTATTTGACTCTTTTACATCTTCATTTATTCTTCCGAGGTCATCATTCGGCTATTTGCACTTTGGTCCGTGAACTATGATTTTCTTCCATTCTTGCCTTTGTTCGCTCGTTTTTCTTAAATTCTACCATATTCATCAATGTTATCCTGTAAAACATAATTTATATAGAATTAAGCCATATTTCAACTTATTTACCAATAATTATCCATGTTTTATGACCTAAATAAGTGTGTAAAATGCACTTATCAAACATCCATAATAAATTCAACTCAATTAAACTTAATGCCCAATTAGACGATTATTCATCTCAATTAATTAATTAAGTTATGCCCAATTATCCATTAATCATAACGATTGAGAAAGTAAACTTCTCAAATTGATGGAAATGCTGAACAACTATTGTGAACCATATTTATCAATCACTCATCATAATTGAGTAGACAATTAAATCTAGATTTTTATTCAAACTCATCATATTTCTTTTCCTTCTACCAATAATTTTCTTGAATTTTGGCTCAATTTCCAGGCCAATTAACCCAATTTATTTTTTGGTAATTGTTTGCTATATTTCTTTATAGTTTTGTTGTTTTATTTGAATTTGTGTTGGATTCCCTTAAATTTTTATCTGAACAATTTTTATTTATTTTTTAATGTTTTTGGGTCTCAATTTTCTGGTCTTGCCATTCAATTTATTATTTGTTTTTAACTTAGATTCTATATTTTTACAGTTAATTGTAGTGGTTTCATTCTAATTCGCCGGACTCTTTTATAAATATTTAGTTGGGCTATGTTTTAAAGCATTTAGAATAGAGTGTATATTTTTATGTTTTCTATTTGCTCATTTGAAAGTATTTTCCTGGATAATCTTGTTGGTATAGTTGTAGTTTAGTTAGTCACTTATTGTCATAATAAGCAAATTATTTAATTTTTCTGATAATAAGGATTTGTCAAATTCTTTTTGTTGCAGTGTGCCTATGCAAATCTTGAGGTGAACACCTCGTTTGGCCCCCATTATTCAAGATGATAATTTTCGGAATGGTATTTTATTGGAAAATGAGTGGTTAAAAAAGAAGAAAAAATTTTGAATTTACGTATAACATTATTTAATTGGAGAATATATGATTAAAAAGAAGAAAGAAAAATGAGTGACAAAGTTCAATGAGATTTTAAATTAATATTTATGATTTAACTATATATATATATATAGTTGAACCACTAACACGCTAGTTAAACTACTAACCCATCAACCAAGTGCTTTGACTTAGTTAGTGACCTCGAGTTTTAAAACTATGATTCAAGTGATAATGGGAGGTACTATTGGTCCAAGGCAATGAAATTATAACTTGAGGCAGTATATGTTGTTCAATTATCCCTTTATCCTTTTCTCTTTTTATTTTTTGGTACACAAAAAGAACGATAATGTACAAAATCTAGTCACAGAGGTGTAACAAAAGATACATAGTGGCTGCTTTCCCATGTCTAAGAGGAGGAGAATATCAATTATCGAGTGCACATTTTGGTTAAACTTTAAATATTAATTGAAATAACTCGCTACTTATTCAGTATTCACATTTTCACACTATTTAAAAACCTCTAACTTATAAACATTTAAAAACTTAACCAAGCATACACTTATAGCATCCAGCTACAATAACGATATCAATTTTGCATTTCCTTGAAGTTTGTAGGTGGTTTGAGCAAAAGCACCATCCATTATTTTTGACAAGATCTGAATTTGCAAAGCTATATTATTTGTGGGGGCTGTGCTATTTGAAAACCCCGTAGGCGTGTAGGCAATAGGGGGCTGCAACACTACCTCCTGGTTGTTTAGGGAGTTGTTCAAGTGATTTTTGCCTATTTGTGGATACGAGTTACCATAAGGGACAATGCTACTCGAGGGTGGACCTACTGTGGGTCTTGGTGGGTCACGTGACCCACCAACTTAAAATTAATTTGTTTGTTTGTTTCTTTTTAAATCAAGAAGTTAGATTTAAAATAAATAAATAATCAATATTTTGTATGTAATTATATTTGCATCACTCCTACGCCCATCTGCAAAACCT